TTCTTCCTGCTTGTTTCCTATGCTCCTAGCATTAGTATAGAGGCACCTGAGCTGTCCATATGGTGCCTTTGGTGCCCCCCATTCTGATGCCTAAAGGGTCCCTTGGTACTTACCTGCAGTGTACTGCTGCATGTCTCAAAGTTTGTATGTTCTAGACTCTCTCCATCTCCTGTATCCCCGTCCCCCATTGAAATTAGTTTAAAGCCCGATGTTCACCATATGGTTTAAGGGGAGTAGTAGAGTCTGTTTTGATTCTAATCTCACCTTTAAGTAAGCAGGTTTACCCATGCATGACAAAGCCTTTAGCTGGATATACTTTAAAAGGACATCAGGTCCTTTGATATGAGTATTGGCATGTGTATATTGAAGTTTATTATTTAGTCATTTAAAATTTGCAGTAATTATGTTAGCAGTAATGGTTTTAATGGGGACCCTTCAGTTACTTCAGTACTCACAACAGTGGTAAGTTGTGAATATGAACACAGCTTGGAAGAGTGTCATGGATGGGAGCTCCCATGAGCTTTGTTCCTGCATCAGGAGTCTCAGGGTCAGTTGATGAACTCTAGCCAGAGTAAACCTTTGCAGCTCCTTGTACAGACCAAATTCCAGCTACGGCTTTTTGCCCTCCAACCTCCCTTCATAAAGGCTACTGAACATTATTGCTCATTTTAAAAAGAACAGCCCCAAGAAGTGTGAATAACCACTCCTGTTCAGGCTTGCAAAGGCTGCATTGTATGGTCTGCTCTTGGTCACTTTTATGGATCTAGTCTGAAATGTAATTTAATTTTCAGGACAAGATAGTAGAAGAAAACTGCCTACACATTTCTTTTAATGCTGACAAAAGAGCTTTAGAAAAATGGAAACGTCATTTTTAAAGCTAGGCTTTTCCTTTACTTCAGTGTAGAGCTTCTGCCCAGAAATTTGCCTCTTGCTAAAGGGCATTTTGTGCCAGAAAGGTGAGCTACCATCTCTCCCAACTGTACTGTCAGTCCAATAAAAGTGGCTTCTTACATATTTCCTGAACCAAAATGGCTACAACAACCCTTTAGCTCTCCAAAACTCAGCTGCCTCAGAATGCTTCTGTTGATCTTGAGACAGCTTGATCATAGGCGGCTGTGGTATTGATGCCTACACAGTCAGATGGATTGCAGATTGGCTGAAGGGTCATACTTAGAGGGTGGTAGTGAACAGGTCTTATTTGAACTGGGGAGAAGTGGGCAGCAGAGTCCCCCAGGGCTCGGTCCTTGGGCCCGCGCTGTTCAATTTCTTTATCAGCAATCTGGATGACGGGGTGAAAAGCAATCTGTTTAAATTTGCTGATGATACCAAAATTTGGGGTGAGGTGAGCACACTAGTAGAGAGCAGCAAGACCTGGATAGGTTGCAGGGGTAGGCTAACAAAACCAGGATGCGTTTCAACACTGACAAGTGCAGGGTGCTGCACTTGGGCAGTAGTAACCAGCAGCACACTTATAAAGCACACTTATAAGATGGGAAACTCCCTTCTTGAGAGCACGGAGGCAGAAAGGGATCTTGGAGTCATTATTGACTCCAAGATGAACATGGGCCGACAATGCGAGGTCATGGTTGGCAGGGCTAACTGGACCTTGTCGTGCACCCACAGTTGCATCTCAAGTAGGGCCAAGGAGGAGATCCTCCTCCTCTACGCAACACTGGTCAGGCCACAGCTGGAGTACTGTGTCCAGTTCTGTACACCCCACTTCAGGAGAAATGTGGACAACATTGAGAGGATCCAGAGGAGGGCCATCCGCATGATCCAGGGACAGCAGGGCAGACCCTACAATGAGAAACTGCAAGACCTGAACCTGTTCA